TCCATTCTCCTCTCGGGATCTTGGGCACGCACGCACGCGCGCCCAGCGTGAGTTTAAGCCACCGGGTCCAGGACGCGAACCGTGGTCAACTATGTGGGAGTCCAGCGACATAGCCATTACGCCAACTGCTAGTCCTATTACTTGAGGTTTTGACTTTGCTCAGAACTATCAATTGCAAATCTTTCGGCATCTGAAAATCATGTTCAAACTTTATCAACTAACTTAATCATGTAAACCCCAGTATTATTAACCATAAAGTGCAGATGAATGCGTGTGTGTGTGTGTGTGTGTGTGTGTGTGTGTGTGTTTTGAGAGGTTTTCACTATAGGGCGTGTGCGCTCACCAAACAGACAAGAGAGAGACAGAGAGACAGAAAGCGAGAAATCACCCCCTAGGGGGGATGGCCACTCCGCAATCCCTTCTCCTCCATTCTCCTCTCAGGATCTTGGGCACACACACACATGTGCCTGGCATGAGTTTTAAGTTACCGGGTCCGGGATGCGAACTGTGGTCGACTATGTGGGCGTCCAGCGACATAGCCACTATGCTAATTGCTGGTCCTGAATGAGTGTGTTTTAAACACTGAGTTTTGAGCTCAAACATTTTGAAAAAGATCAAATGTGAATATGTTTGGTATATTTTAAATGCATGTAGATGGATGAAGTATTGATAATGGCTTAGGGTGGTGGCTGGGAGAAATTCTGGTAACAATGCCCTTCCCAGGGAATGTGATATCACACTGATGCTATAGTGATAAGATAGATGATGAAAATGAAAAGGATGTGTTCCAGTGATAAAGTGCTATTCTGTCTACAAAGTTCTCATACCTGCCGGTTTTGTTATGGTACAAGTCCTATGTCTCAACATTGTTGGGGGTTGAGGAAGGGTGATCTGAGATTCACTCTTTGCAATGACTGCAGGGTAAACCATCAGAGTTCTGACAACAGAGGAAGTAGGTACCCATCACATTTACCCCAAGAGCCAGACAATGACTCACAGACAGAAAGAAAGGAGAGTATGGGGGGAAAAAAAGGAGAGGATGGGGGAAAAGCAGAAAGGGAGAAGCACGTGTGTGTGCGTGTGTGCACTCACACATACCTTGGGAGACTTTGCTGTGTTCCATCCATGTGACTCAGTTCTTACCTGGAAATGCTGGCTAACCTCTGTCTCTGATACAATCACTGCAGAGGTAGTGTTTTCTACTGCTTTGTATTTCCAAGAAGTCATAGTTGGAGTCACAGAACGCTTCCCTTTCTGCTGCACACAGAATGAAGACTCGGGTCTTGAGATACCTGCCCTCAGCACAAGAGTCAGGAGGAACTGCTGACTTTTCACATGGAGTATCTCCTGGGACCCAATCCCAGACCTCCTTGTTAAAGATGGGGCAATTGTCCCACATTTCAACTGTTTCTTCTGGACTGTGACCTGGAGTCCCGATAGTGTCAGTGGTGCCCATTCAGGGTGACCCAGGAATGGGACCCATGTGGCCAGTGCTCCTGCTTTTTCTCTTGGGTGAAATGCGGGTTGGCTTTGTTATCTTCAGCCCTAACATTGAGCATAGCATGTTCATATCACGGAGTTTCATAGTTTCTAATCAGAGATCAATCCTCCTGGATGAAATATAACACAGTCTGTTCCAGAATATAAGTAAAACAAGATAATAAAGTAGATTGGCATTCACAATCATGATTTTCAAATATCATGAAGAAATAACATTTTTAAAAATTTCTATTATGACCCCAGGGAGCAACAGGATGACAAAAAAGTAGATTCTACAGAAGGTTAAGCTGCTATTCTGGGTATCTATGTCTTTATTTATTTGATAATTCATTTATTTTAAAATTTTCTTTAAAAATTTTTAATTGACATATACTAATTTCACATTTATGGATTACAGTATGATGTTTTAATACATATGCAATGCATAATTATCAAATCAGGATAAATGCATAGCCATCTGTTTTAGTCCATTTTTCTGTTGTTAAAACTGAATAATTCAGATGGGTTATTATTTTTTTTGAGAGGTTTTTGCTATAGGGTGCGTGCGCTCACCAGACAGAGAGAGACAGAGAGACAGAAAGCGAGAAATCACCCCCCAGAGGGGTTGGCCATGCTGCAATCTCTTCTCCTCCATTCTCCTCTTGGGATCTTGGGCACACATGCACACGTGTACGGTGTGAGTTTAAGCCACTGGGTCCGGGACTTGAACCACGGTCAACTACGTGGGAGTCCAGTGACATAGCCATTATGCCAACTGCTGGTCCCAAGACAAGTTATTAATTAATTATTTATTAAGAATAAAGATTAGGACCAGCAGATGGCACACTGGTTATGTCGCTGGACTTCCATATAGCCAACCGCATTGTGAGTCCCAGACATGCCAGGCATGTGTGCGTGAGTGCCCTAAATCCTGAGAGGAGACTGGAGGAGAAGGGATTGTGGCATGGCCATCCCTCCTGGGGGGTGATTTCTCTCTTTCTGGCTTTCTGGCATGTGCATGCACCCTACAGCAAAAAAAAAAAAAAAAAAAAAAAAAAATTAAGGCCAACCAGTGGTATGGAGTTTAAGGAGCTGGATCCCACATGACTGACTCTGTGGTTTGAGTCCCAGACTTGAAAACTTGAAAAACTTGCCAGGTGCATGTGTGTGTGTGTGCCCAAAATCCTGAGAGGAGACTGGAGGAAAAGGAATTGTGGCATGGCCAAA